GCCTTTTCGGAGTTGTTAACCCCCCACTTGCTACTGGTGTTTAGAAGGGCCACTCAAACTGCTTCATTCCCTGCTGAAATGTTGAAGGCCACTATTACCATTCCCAAACCTGGTAAGACACCTACCACTCCTTCCAACTTTCGCCCGATATCACTGCTCAACACTAATGTCAAACTCTTTGCCAAAATTATAGCTTCCAGACTAAATACTCTGTTACCGATCTTGATCCACCCGGATCAATCTGGCTTTCTGTTGGGTAGACAAGCACCCAATGCCACACACAGACTTATTAATGTCATTCACTGGGCCTCCAAATCCAAAATTCCTTCTATCCTATTGACGTAAGACTCTGAGAAAGTGTTCAATAGAATTTACTGACAATACATGAAGCAGGTGCTCCACAGGTTTGGCTTTGTTGGCCCAATCTATGATGCTGTCATGGCACTATACTCCTGCCCCTCAGCTCAAGTATCCTTTTCGGGGATCCTTTCCTCGCCCTTCTCCATTTCCAATGGCACGAGGCAGGGATGCCCCCTCTCACCTTTAATATTCAACGTCCTCATGGAACCCTTCAAGAATTACTACTATTACTATATTACTGGGTTCCTAGTCTCTCATAATCACCATCAAATAAAATTGTTTGCTGATGATGTGATTTTTATGATCACAAACCCAGCTTCTTCCTTGATGGAAGATCGTAGAGTTATTCACCAATTTGGCCACATCTCCTACTATAAAATCAATGATTCTAAACCCCATATTCTTAACATAGGACTTCCCTCTACAGTACACAATATATTGCCAGCCTTGTTCCCCTAAGCTAAAAGTGCTGACAAAATCTCATACCTAGCCATTAACCTCACACCTCATACAGCTTCACTTTTCAAGGAAAACTACCTCCCGTTCTTAACAATGCTACAAACTGACCTTATGGACCTAGCTAAACATAAGTTATCATAGTCTGGCCGCCTAGCGGCCTTCAAAATGTTGATCCTTACCAAAGCACTTTATCTATTCAGTACACTAACAATTCCGCTACCTGTCCATTGCTTTAAGTCACTTAAAACGTTACTGCTCAAATACATTTGGCAAAACAAGAAGGCAAGATGTGCATATTCCCAACCAATCGGACACAAAACTGTTGGTGGCATGGGAATGATCGATCTCAATGACTATTTTGCAGTTACACTAGTGCTTATACTTACTAACAAATTAGGTCATAGCTTCGCCCTTCCCCCCATATCCTTTGGTGGGAAATTGAACAATCCTTCATACCTAGACATAATTTATTCCACTTTCTTCTTGCCAGCTTGTGTCTGGGGTTTTCTAGCGTTTCTGTATCCCCGACTATAGATGCCTCTAACAGCTTGGAGACATCTGTGCTCCTTGAAATTCTCCCTAGAACCGACCACACATGTTTCCTTACCGATTGATGTTTTGGAGCTACTTATAGTGGACGTCAATCTTAAAAAATGGCATACTTAATCGATTGCCCGATCTCTGATCTCTATGAGAACAATAAACTTAAATCTTTCCTGGATCTGTGTGGTCAGTATTCCCTCCATCTGTCCACGTTTCACCAATATTCTCAAGTTCATCATCTCTTCACTGAAACTCCCATTCTGGTTGTCCACGTTCCTAACAACCTGTGGATATCTTACCATAATCCCCACACAACCATTAGAGGCATTTCCTTCATCTATGGGCTAATGCAGGAGAAACACTCTTTTGTCAAATCTCTTCCATTCCAGAAGTGGGAGAATAACCTACACGCCACCTTCTCTCCAGCTCAATGGACTAAGGCCCTCACTATATTATTCTCAGCCGCTAAATGCGTGAATCTCTGGGAGGTCTCTTTAAAACGTATCCTCCGATGGTATCTTACTAGAGCTGCAGCTAACGATTATTTTTAAAATCGATTAGTTAGCCGATTATTAAGTTTGATTAATCAGTTAATCGGATAAAAAATAAAATACATTTTAAAAAATTGCTCCAGTAATAGACTACTAGTTTGTATTGAGAGTGTAGTCCATCACAGGAGCAAGCTTGGAGCGGTGGAAGTAAAAAAGAAAACAAAAGTGTGGTGTGCAATATTGTGAAATGAAGAGTGTAAAATGATACAGCAATGCATGCAGAATGGCACCGGCTATAGAGGACCACAAATCCCAGCAATAGTACATTATACAGCACAATGCAGAATACCACCAGCTATAGAGGAATACAACAAATCCCAGCAATAGTACATTATAGCTGGTGGTATTCGGCATTGCACCACTGTAAAATGTATTTTTCCTGGGATTTGTTGTACTCCTGGTATTCCGCATTGCGGTGGTATTCCGCATTGCGCTGTATAATGCATTATTGCTGGGATTTGTAGTCCTCTATACAGTGCAATGCGGAATACCACCAGCTATAGAGTACGACAAATCCCAGCAATAGTACACTATACATACAGTGTATAATGTATTGCTGAGATTTGTATTCCTATGTATAATATACAGCACAATGTACCATCAGCTATAGAGGAATACAAATCCCAGCAATACATTATAGAGCACCATGTGTGGTAAAGTGCAGGCGTACCTGAGCAGTCTTCCAGCAACTTGCTTCTGAGATCGGACCTGTCTATCGGCAGCTGTCATCCCCCCACACCTGCTTCTCCTTACTACTTCTCCCAACGTCCCTGTGCCGATCGTGGATGTGGGCGGTCGGTGAACGTGAGGCGGAGAGGAGATGCGGTGTGTGGATGCGGGCGGGTCTGGCAGTGGCGAATGTGAGCTGGGGAGGAGGTGTGGCGCGCAGCGTGTGTGGAGACGTGAACAGGGCCAACCAATCGGAAGCCAATTAATCGATGATTGAAAAAGTTGACAACTTTTTCAATAATCGATTATGTCAATTAGTTGTTGCAGCCCTTTATCTTACTCTCTACAGACTTGCTAAATTTTCAACAGGTCATTCCGCTTTGTGCTGGAGAAATTGTTGACTGGTGGGAAACCTACTTCATACCTTCTGACACTGTCCCAATGTTCAGAGACTTTGGGGAGACATATTTCGGATCATTAGTGTAATCAATGGTCGAGCTGTCACCCCCTGGTGCTTTTAAATTTAAGTGTGGACGGCTTTCCCTCACAGACTAGAATAGTAATAATTTACATCCTTTTGGCGGCTCGTTTACTCATTGCTAGAAACTGGAGAGCCCAGACTCTCCTATTTCACAGGTTGCCAACTTGGTTCACTTACACTATTCCTATGAGAGAATACTGGCTTTCAATGGTGACAAAAGCCATAGATTCGATCGCCTTTGGAACTCTTGGATAAATTGGTACTCCTCATACTCGAACCATGCTCCGTAGAGAATCTCTTGTTGCATTTTCCTTACCTATGCCCCTGTCTTTACACTTGTATTGATACTTCAGGTGAACACTTCTGTATCTGATTTCTTTTTACTTTTACTCTATGCGCTGTTGGTGTTGTTACATTACAAAAGATCACTGCGATGATCCTCTGTTGATGTATGATATGTCTATCTCATCACCTGCTGTTATGACACTTAACAGTTTTCCTGTTTAAATTCATATTTGTCGATATGTGCTATTATTTTCTTATCAACACCATTAAAATTCTATTTGGTTAGAAAAAGAACAAAAGTCAAATCAGGGTTGTTAAATTCTAGGGTAAAAACACATATAATGAAGAAAAAAATTGGCCTTTAAAAAAATATCCAATATACTTTAAAAAAGTCACAATAATATATGAACAAGGAACATCAGTTACATGTGACTTGGAGAAAGAAGAGGTATTAAATACATTCTTCTCTTCAGTTTTTACAGAAGAGAAAGGTAGGTTTAAAAAGCAAACTAAAAATTCTAATAAGAATGGACTAAAGATACCCCAGTGGCTGACAGAGATCCGAGTGAAATGAAGTCTAGAGAAACTAAATGCAAATAAATCTCCAGGACCAGATGACTTACACCTGCAAGTCCTCAAAGAAGTTAGCCAGGTTATAGCAAGATTATTGTTCCTAATTTTTAAAGACACTTTCATAACTGAAATGGCACTGATTGACAGAAAGCAAATTTAGTACCAATGTATACAAAATTGGTCAAGATGTACACCAGGAAACTATAGACCTGTCAGTCTTACATCAACAGTATGCAAAATATTTTATTTCAATGGGGTTACATCCGCACAACAATCACTAAAAAAGGTACCTCTTTTTGCAACTCGTACAGCATGGTTTTTTGAACCACGATCGTGCACGATTGCACGGGCATTATCGCAGCGTGAAACTGCTCGATCTGCCCAGCATTACTGGGGTGCCAATAGAAAATAATGGCACCGCCAGCACGATGGTGGGCGATTCCGTGACCATGCGGCCATCCACACGAGTGCCACGCAGTCACAGATCTCCATAGTGTGAACCTAGCCTAAATGTGTGCTGACACTGTCACAAGTTGTGTGTTGTAAAGTACCCACCCCTCAAAGCTCGCTCCTGTGATGAAATACAATCTCACTGCAAATTCGTATACTAAAGGTGAGATTTTAGTCCATTACGGAAGTGAGCTTGGAATGGTGGCTACTTTACAACCCACACAGGGACAAGGGGAACAAAAGTAGGCACCCTCCAGAAGGAAGGACAGCACAGTGTCAACACAAATTCAGAGATGATTTGAGGATCTACACCTGAGTGATTCATAAATAAGGCACATTTTTGTTAATAGTTAAGATACCTGAATGCATTTGTTTACTGAATGGATTTTTAAGATTTACCCTTCTGAGTTTAGTGTCATACAGTATTTGTATTACAATACATTTTAAATTGTAACTGCTTTACAAGGATTAATTAAAGGCAGGATAACTATATCTATGCCTAAGTTGCAAAGTCATTCAACAAATTTCATTGTAAATCGGAATTAATCGGTCTTACTTTAATTTCATAATGCCATTTTCCCAAATAAGGATTGATATATGGACCAGTAATTTTTTTTTTTTTACCTCAGCGGCGCCTTACTGGCTGGATGAACCAAAAAACCTGATCTTAGCCCCAGGAGAAAATGGCCGTTTGGTTTGTCGGGCCAGCGGCAACCCTAAACCCATAATTCAGTGGCTGATGAATGGAGAAGTAATCTCAGGTAACCTTTTATGGAGAGCTTTGGAAAGAACTGTGTGACACATTTTATTTCTACTTTAATATCTAACTGCAAAGATGTACACGTTATTTACATATTCATATGCTCTTTAGACTTTTCAGTCAGGTCTTCGTTTAATAAAAACGCAGAGTTGAGATTAGAGCAACAATGCCATATGAGAATTCCCAAACCTCTGTTTAACTCCAACCTGGTGAATGCAGTGCAATATCAGCAGGCGTGTGGTCTGGGGTCTCGAGGCCTCTACCAGTAATGCAAAAAAAATTAGAACATGCGTGGCCACTTCTGCATCTGATAATGAGCAATAAGTGAATAAGCCAATGTTTATTGTGTGGGGGGTCATCAAATCCTGCTTGATGTCTGTAAATCCTGAACTTAGTATCAAACCCCATTAAAGTTGATGGGAGGTGAATCTTCATACTAAATGTAGACCATTTTCAATGCTAATAGACAAGGTATTGTCAAAAAGAGCATGAGGAGCTGGGCACTACCATGAGGAACATTAACTAAGCAAAAAAATAAACAGTTTTTAAAAACACCGTTCAATGAGGAGAGAGTCCTTCTTCTAATGCGACTTTGAAGGCAACATGGAAAAAACACCAATCCTATAGATCATATGCTTGAGAGATCCCTTTAAGCTGTATGTGGTGTTACAGAACAGTACAAGTTTCATCAACACTGTCAGTGACACTGCATTCTGACATCACATATTTGACTGTGTAATTGATTTTTTGACATTTAGTTTGGCTTAAATACAGCAGTAGAACTCCAATCTGATTCATTACAACTTGAATAAAGTATTTTTTTGGCAGATTTCGCTGGGGCACCTGATTTTTTTTATCCAGTGGCAATAGGCCTGAATGATGTTAGCAGCCTATCTTTCTATAGCTTTCTATAAAAGCTATAGAAAAGTTTACTTAAAAAAATAAATAAAGCTGAAGCTCTCAAATTTATACCAACTGGTAGTGGCAAAACATTTCCATAGTGTACTGTAGCTTGTGAGCTTCTTTCGCAGTATCACACTGCATTGTTTTAAAAGTTTAAAAAATGTCAAAAGAGAGTGCAGAAATACACTTCAAAACCACAAGCCCCCATTCCCCAAAATTCCTAATATCTTCATATCCCCAATTATTCCCCAAATATTCAAAATATAGACTTCAGATATATGTTTGGTTGAAACTGGCTAGCCCCAGGACAGATTGCGAATTGGCAGCAAATAGGAAGAGATAAGGTAGGATTTATCTTGCAATAAAAATTATTATGTGAAAAAAAATTGTTCAAAATTGTTCAGTGGTTGGACAGTGTGTAAGCAGCTTGGTTAGGCAGCAATATAAGAGGGAGACGAGTCAAGTTTTATCTTGAAATAAACATAGTTTATTATCTGAGAGAAAATAACCTCAAATATTTTTGAGTGCTAATGCACCAGAATAAGGGACAAATTTCGAGTCCCAATACAGAATTTACCCCAAACATTAGAAATTTGGCAGCTGAGATCCAGCTGCGGAAATATTGTGTGGCACCTTTACACTGGAAAAGGCCACACATTTGGAGACACAATGCGGCAAATAGGTTATAATGCAGCACTTCCTCAAAGTGCCTCATCCGGATCTCCCTTGGGGATGGTGGGAAGACATTGACCATTTTAGACTTGTATCAAGGATTTAATAAGGGGGGCACCCAATAATGGTTCCTCTCTTCCATGACCCAAAACCTGGAGTCCCTGCACATGCATTTGAGTACAAAAGGCCCTATTTGCCACAAATGGCCTGCAGCAGGGGAGCCAAGTCCTCTGTGTTGCTGAGGACAAACATGTCCTCAATGATGTTACCCCACTCACATACACCTCCTTGGGTTTGGGAGGTGTGAAGCGTCCCCATTGAAGCCTGCCTGATTTCCTCCTCTCCCTCACCACAAGAACCCCAACCTCCGCCTCGTACTCCTTCTCCTTCCTCTGCTTCACAGGGATGGAGGCAGTAGGAAAAGGATGCTTCTGGCCCTGAGACAGCAGCAAGTCCTTCTCTTTCACCCTCTGCTGTGCCTCCAGTGCCTAGTCTGTGTGTGATCTGGGAGGAGTTTTGCCAAGCTTCCATTAAGATGCTGGGCATGGGGATTATTTGGGGACATTTTTTCTTCTGCTCCAGGAGCTGTGGAAAAGAAACATGCCTTGGGAATTAGGGGGGAGAGATGGAAAGTGGGAACCGAGGACTTGTGGGCCTTTAGTTGATGAATTGTCTCATTAAGCTACTGCTCCCATCGAGTTTGTGATGCAAAGTCATGTATCTCCTCATACATGTTGTACTCAAATGGCTAGTACTATTATCAGGGCTGATATGCTGCATGCAGTGACTGCAGATTAAAATGGTGCTGTCAGAAGCAGCAGAGTTCTGTGGACTGGTCCTGGGGACGGTGCCACTGGATGGTTTAGGATGACTCCTTCCTCCAGTCCTCTACTATTCTACCACTGCTTGAGAAGTTTCCTCCTTTCCAGTCGGTGGCACCCATGTACAGTATGCCACCTCATTATCCACCCCTTCCTCATCATTGGAGCCCACGTCGCAGTAAGCGCCAGCTGCTAGAACTTCACTGTCACTTGCTGTTTTCTGCTTGACGTCCCCTGGAGCTATCTTTCTTATCCTCAATATCTGATGGGTATAGTTGTGCCCAAGGAAACCTGAATGGGAACTGGCTCCATTATGCCTTTCCCTTCTTGAATCCCTCTAGTCTCATCTATAGTTCCTTATCGTACCTTTCATCCCAAATCTGCAAAGGAGATAGCCTGCTCCATTTACCTTACTGACACACTCCTCCACTTTCCCTCCCCCACTTGTTTGTCACCCCCCTCCTTTATCCCCTTTCCCCCTCCCCTCTTCCCTCTCCCTTACCCACCCCTCTTTTCTCTTTCCTTTTTTCCCCCCATTCCCTTGTTTCCCCACATACCCCTTGTGAAAGGACCACCCTGAGTAACCACACCAAGTTTGTCCCTATGAGAGACAGTCAGATAACCCTTGAGTATGTTCCTAATTGCTTTTTGTTGTATTTTACTATTGCCTACTTCTGACTTAGATATTGCTTTGGTATGCTACTCCATTGACTCTGTGTGAGCATTATTTTAATGTTGTTTCTTTAAAGTTATTAAAAATGACTGAAAAGGTAATTAAGGCAGTCCTATAAAAGAACAGTGTAAATACTTTCCTGCAGCCCCACCATTGAACACCACTCCAGTGCTGAGAAATCTTCCACTAAAGCCTATAGAAAAAATCCTGGATCCCCTGCATCTCTCACTGGTTCCTATGCTGACCTCTATGTTATTACTTTATCCAGTAATGTGTGGAGGTCATCAGGAAGAACCAGTGAGAGTTGCATTTGTATACTTCCAGTGCACTGTTAAAGCAATGCATCATTGGGGGTTTGGAGGATATCCAGTGTTTTATTTCTATTTTTCCAGTTTGTAAAACCTTTTTAGTCATGAAAATTCAAGTTAATTTTCTTATGTTTAAGAAAACTGTTAGAAGAAGTATGGGGTAGCATGTATACCTTTATATTGTTACAAACTTATTTATGAGGGTGAAAGTTTGAATCTGTAGGATTTCTTTTCAAGTAACATGTTGTCAGTGGCCACTAGCAGTATGGTATATTGGTATATTCGATTACTTTTTAGAAGTTTTGTGACATTTTGTCTAGATAAATGAATTTACCGTTATCAAATGTACATTTCTATCAATGTTATCTTGTCTTTTCCATTGTAACAGCTCCAAACCAAAACTTTGAAGTTGCTGGTGACACTATAATTTTCAGAGAAGTACAGACTGGTAATAGCGCAGTGTTTCAGTGTAATGCTTCCAATGCCCATGGATATCTGTTGGCTAACGCTTTTGTCTCCATACTTGGTAAGAAAAGTAAAATACGCTGCTCAGTGTTTTGTTTTTATTCGTTAGTTTTTTTCAAAATGTCATTTTGTTTAATTAATTAAAATTTTATTAAGTTTAAGAAAGGACCACGCAAATTAACATACAAAAACAACACACTTAGGATAAATAAGATCTATCATTATGCCATTTCACCAAGTCCCTTCTAATATGGTTCAATAAAGGTAAGTAATTAACCTTGAACAGATCAGAGTACCTGGAGGTTAAATACATTCCGAGGTATCTAATTTTTTCCATTTCCATAGCAAAGGTATAGATTGTTTCAGATAAGTTATTTCTGCAGGTGGTATGTTGATATTCAAAATCTCTGATTTATTTAGGTTAATTTTAAAATTTGATATTGAAGGAGGACCAGTATTGATACTCTCGGATGTCTAATAAATAAAACAATGTCATCTGTGTATTCCGTCATTTTATGTTAGAACCATTTAACAGTTATCCCTCTTATATCCGAATTGTTTCTAATAGAGATGAAAAAAAGTTTGATCGATAACGCAAATAGTATAGGGGAAAGGGGGCAGCCTTGGCGAGTACTATGGGGAGTATACCCCATTGATTTTAATTCGTGCTGTAGGGTGTTAATATAGAGATGTAATAAAAGTCAGCATTTTTGGGCATAATCCTAGATGCAGGCAGTCCTAGATACAGAACAAGATAGGGACTGTAAGTTTGTTCTTAAGTTGAATTTGTATGTAAGTTGGAACAGGTACATTTTTTAAGTGTAACTCCAGCCAAAAATGTTTTTTTTTGTTTGTTTGGATAGCATAGGGAAGGGTTAACCCCCTGTAAGGTTTGTTTTGCTGTCTGTGCCCGTTCAGAAGATTTCACCTCACTTTCTGTCCCTGTGCTAATTGGATTTTGAAAATTTTGGGTTGTCGTGGAAACAAAGATTGGTGATACATCTTCAGTGGAGACACCTTTTTCACATGATAACTCTTACAGGAGGGAATTTCCCTTCCTAGGGGTATATTTCCTTTCACTTCCTGTTGTCTCAAAGACAGGAAGTGAGATTCAATCTTTCTAATGAGGATACAGACAGCTGTAAAAACCTCACACTTGCCTGGAAGAAGAGGTGGGCACCCCGTGTCTGCACGTCTAACAAGAGCCAACTTCCTGTAATGTATGTACAGTACTATGAACCAGACCCAAAAAGGCGGGCACTCCTCGTCGGCACGAGCGCGGGAGCATTACAACTACCCCTGCTGTACAGTAATAGCCTCCGTTTGTAAGTAGGACTCGTATGTAAGTTGGATGTTTGTAACTCAATGACTGCCTGTATTCCCAGTCCACCCTGTCAAAGGCCTTTTCAGCATCAGTAGAGAGGAATAGGGTGGGTCTAACTGAAGAAGAAGCATAGTGTAGGAGGGATACTGCCCTGCGTGTTGTCCCTCACCTCACTCCCATTAATAAAACCAGTTTGGTCCAGTGTTATTAGTTGAGGTAATCTAGAAGATATTCTTGTCGATAATATTTTGGCATATAGTTTAATGTCCAAATTTAACAGTGATATAGGCCTGTTGCTGCCACATATCGTTGGATCTTTACCTACTTTGGGAAAGACAGATATATAATCATGTACAGTAGCAGGAAGAGGAGATGTGTCTAAAGAAAAAGTGTTCACATAGGCAATTAAGTGTGGAATTAGTGTCTGGCGAAATATCTGATAGTATTTAAGTGAAAAGCTGTCTGGGCCAGAGCTCTTTCCCATGGGATAATTTTCAATAGCTTTGTGAAATTCCAATTCCGTGATTGGAATCTCGAGGGCCTCCAAGTCCTGTTGTGAAATTCTTGGGGAATTAACCCCTTCATGACCAGTGATGTACCGTGTACGTCACTGGCATTGGGCCTGTTTATCCACTTCTGGGCCGCAATACCTCCATAGATGGTGGTCCGCATCATTGGTTTAAACAAGAAAGTGTTTTTGGTGTCATTTTCAACAGCCAGCGATGGCTGTTAGTGTACAAGCGATCCATCGTCTATACAGCCACCAGATCGTTTGTACCGTGTGGCTCCCTCCCCCTCCCCCATCCCTGCCGGGCCACCGTCTGTTTCCCATGGCTCCGCTATCTCTCCTCCGATCACTGGACCTGGAAGTGATGTGTATTACATCACTTCCGGTGTCACTATTTACATTCTCCGGCTCTTAGAGCCAGGAGAAGAAGCTGGGGAAGCATATCTCTGCTTCCTCAGCTTCTTTGGGGTCCCTATATGACATTAGGGGTCTGAAAGACCCCTGATGTCTCCAACCTAGTTGTGAGGATATGTCACCAGCACTCCAGAATGACAAACAAGTCCCACCAGGAGAAATCATGAAATACCCAATGGATGAATATGAAACACAATTATCTTTCGTCAAGAAAACATGTTAAGCTGCCCACACACCTTACAATTTATCTGCAGATTTTCTGTGGTCAGATGGAAAAGGTGCAACAGATTCCTCCATCTACACTTAACTGTGTGGATGGAGTAATCTCCACCTGGGCCAATCTGTTGCACTTTATCCATCTGACCACAGAAAATCTGCAGATAAATTGTAAGGTGTGTGGGCACCTTTAGTCCCAAGCTCGTGTTGAGTCCCCTCGGAATAAGAGTATCGAGGGTATAGATCCAATAGGCCTCTCTCTGCAAGAGGTATCTGCCTCTATCGCCCCCTCTGGGTTGTATGCGTACATGCTCTATCACCATTCCCCTCAGTTCGTGCATTTGGTGTTCATGTTCCGCAAAATGTGTTGCAACAGGTTTGTTGGCATCTATCTCCTCACCTTTGTTAAATTCCTCAATAGCTAATCGAATATCGCTTTGGTGTTTCTGGAAGCGTCTTTTGAAGGGGCCAACAGTTTTACCAATGTATACCCGTGTGCATGGGCACTTGAGTAGGTATACACAGAACTCAGTGTTGCAGTTCAGGTAGCCCTGTATCGCATACTTTTTCCCATTTTATAGTGGTGTGGAAATGAGTCTCCACAAATCAGGGCATTGCATATGTTGCAACGATGGCATTTGAAACAACCTGTCTTTTTAGAAAAAACATGGGGTTTCTTGGAATACTTGGACCTGTGGTTTGGCCTGGACCAGCACATCCCTAAGTGATCTCCCATGTTTGTGTACCATCATTGGTCTATTTTTGACAATGTATGACCGGGCACGATCGCGATGGCAGTGCCATTATTTCCTAATTGCACCCCAGTCGTGCCAGGCAGATTGCACGTTTTCCTGCTTTCCTTTCCTCGCAGTTGAAAGCACTTTACATTTTTATTTAGTTACATTTTTAATTATTTTTTACTTTTTTTTTAACTAATTTTTTTTAAACTTAACTGTTAAAGTAATGTACAGAAGTGAACTAGTTAATATGTTTTAACTTGTAGAAATCTAACCTTTGTGCTTTTTCGAGTTAATGCAACAGTAAGACAAACTCAGGAAGATGGCTTAACCACAGAAGTTACAGTTTCCTGCATACTAACTGGCAGATGTACGAAAGACAGAATTAAGGAAGTTCTCCTCATCCCATGACTGAAGTGATTCAACAGCGAATTACTCAACAGAAGGCTGTCTTATGGAATTGTATAAAACCCAAGATGGGGGGGGCTAAGTTTGAGAGACTTATACTAGATGAGTGAAGGACAGTCCTAAACTCTTTTTTCTGTATTAAGTTCTCCCGTGCACGAATAAAACAAATGTCAATCTTTTCAAAATATCATCGCCTCGTGTCGATATGCTGGGATTCCATCAACACTGTATTGCTATCATACAGGGGTTAACAAGCCCGTGTGATAGCATTCAGAGGTGACATGTTCTCTTTATTGAACCTGTCACCTCCAACACAGGAGTTCTAGCAGGCACTGTGCTAGAACTCCTGTGACAGGAACGAGCAGCGACCGCCGAGGACAGAGGCTGAGGGAGGTGACAGAGCCTGTCACTACTCCACGCCCCCCACTCCGTCCCCGCACTCAGCGATCCACGCTCCGTCCCTGCCCCCAGTGCTCCGTCCACACCCCCCGCTCTCAGCGCTCCATGCCCCCGGCTCGCAGCGCCGCTCTCGGCGCTCATTTAAGAAAAGAAAAAATACAGCCCTGCTGTCCATAGCAGGGCTAAAACAGTGAAAAAAATCACTTGCCCGGAACTACATGTCCCGGTTGTCGGGCGATACGAATTCCACACCCCTGTCTGTTTTCTTTGTTCCAGACCAATAATTTTTGCATAGAGTTGACCTTTTATCCAACAATAATATGTAGTATCATATAGTACGATAATGTTCTTCTATAAGTAACAATATTGACTTACAATTATCATTGTCGCCAGTATTAATGATGTGTACATTGATGTGTATATTGAAATGGCCAAGGTTCTGAACATATGTCTCATTGTGATATGTGCATTAAGAGAAATTCCTTGCCAGCAGCTGTACCCACTACACCGGTTTTCTTCCATAATTATTTTTGTGCCCTGACTTTTTGGACAAACCACCAAGTAGGATCATACTGTGTGGGTTAGCAAGTTTGTTTTTATGTCTTGGTTATGCTTTGGCCGGTTGCTCAGATGATACAGCACTGCACTAATCCCTCTGTGTTCTTTTCGTAGACCGCTGACAGGAGGCGGTACTAGGAATGACGTTGCACCAATGGTGTACGTCCCGCGGCGCATGCGCGGTAGCCTCGATCCAACGACCCGAACACAGGAGGCGCTGGGCGGGCCCGCACTATCGAAGCGTGACCTGATCACCATGGCAACCCGGCTGTCAGCTGTCCGCTGTCATTGCCAGCCCAATAACGCAGCACCATCCATTACTGTCATGTCAAACGCACATACACAGCTTGTTTGCATTTTCGATCAGCAGCCCCCTGGTCTCTGATACTATGCCTATGTATAAACTTGAAAGTATTATTTTCCCTTTTGTTCTGGCGGGAATATGACGTCAAAGGGGTGGAGTCTGGTGATTTACAGTCTGTTTGTGTGTGTATATA